CGAAAGTGGCACATCGTTATCGGCCATCGCGCCACGCTATCGCTCTATCATCCGACACAGTTCCTCCTGCGTTTCTAATATCTCGAGAAATACCTAGATGCTATTTATACGCAACGTTCCGCCTAATAATAAGATAATACGTAATGTTCAAATAAAAATCAACTTTTTCGTGTTTCATATCCGATTTGTATCCATATTTCTATAAGAGATCTAAATTACATATAAAAGCGTTTCTTGCCTTTTCAAGATTTGGATTTTACCTCACTGAAGTGAACTATCGAACAACGATATATTATTTATTTATTCGTCTGCGCCATTAGCCCGTGGCAAACGAAAGAGCCTGCTTTCACTCCCGCCGCGGCCGTCGCGTAGCACACCACGCTTCTCTATTTTCTATTTCTCGAGTCGTGCTCCGCGCATCTCTTGTGCCGCCCAGTGCCGCGGGCGAGCTGTCGATCGGCATTCGAGGAGCACCCTGCCCACGTACGCTCCCTTCTTAATGCCCGCAACAAAAAAATAAGACAGCTCGGTGTTACCGCCCTTATCTCTCCGACGCGCGTACCGCGTAATCGACAGATACGCAGAACGAACGCAATTTCTCATTAAATCGTGGGTGTACGGTCGCGGTCTTAAAGTCTTTATTTACGTTTATCTTCCGTTGCACACACCCTGGACGCATTATCTTGCGAGATCAAAGTATACGTTGATGCGGCGGCTAATTCGCGCCAGCGGCTTCTCACCTCGACGGAAGGTTTCGCGGTCAGGTTCAGGTACCAATTCACGCGAGCTCCTCGCTTCGGGGTTGTGTATCGGGTTCAGCTATGAGAACTGATCTTTGAGTTTTTCTATCTTTCATCTGAATCGGTTATTGACCGCGAGTAACGCAATCTAATGGTCGATTTACTTGAATCTTCCGTATTCTTTTCTTGGGATTTGACGGCCATATCTTTAATATTGCAACGTGTACGAGTTAATTAGTTTTTAGATCGTTATTCATTCATAATTTGCATCGTTATTAATGATATGCCTGACTGCTTGAAAGATGTTTCCTGCACAAAATAACGGAGATCCGGTAATTTTAATATTTATCTCTCGGAAGGCACGTGTCAATTATTTATATATACAATGCATTCATTCTCGAAGAAATTGATTACACGTCCGCGTTGATGTACTAATTAAATAATTGTGATCGTTGCGAGGCTCATACCAAAAAAGATCAACCGAAAATTTCGGATCCGTCTAATTACCCTATCGAGCATCTCTGAGTCGCGTCCGGCCACGACCTGACGCTCGTGCCACGGACGGCCACGCAACACCCATTTTGTATGCCGCTATCGTGCGGACGCGTGCAAGAAGGTCGCGGCTACCGGACTTGCAGTCGAAACGAGGACCTCGCCTCGCGATCGTGACGAAAAGGGAAGAAAGGGGCCCGCCCCTACGAAGAAGGGGCTTCGACTCGTTAAGGCGTCAGGTGCCCGGGACCGTTGACGCACGGCCGTTACCGTATACCATCCCCAGAAGAACGCCGCGCGATAATAATGTATACCATTAATGCGAATACCGGGCGGTGAGGCGCGCCGCGTGCGTGTCTTCGAGGAGCGGCGCGCCACCCTGCCCTTAGACTCGGGGGACCTGGGGGCCATGTGCGCACCTCCGCGAAAGGTGAAGGGCGTTTAACGGTCGGAACGTACACGGTTTTCGGGATCCATCGGGACAGAGCACCAGCTGATCATCGTTCGCTCCCTATCGTTCGGCCGCTCTCTATTTCGGGCCATGTGCTTCCCGCGCTTTTTCTCTGGCCGCCCATCGGGCTAGACGATTTCTCATTTGCTCCTCTTTGGTACCCCCCGAGTTCGTTGACTTGTATCCTTGAGTTCGCAACGTATAGTCTGAGACTAGCGAATAGAGTATCGTTTGTATGAAAAACTGCACGAGAACAGGGTGTGCGCGGAAACACAAAACTATGTCGATCTTTTTATCAGCTATTACAGGAATTACGTGAACACAAATGCGAATTTTAAGATACATCTTTTTAATCCTAGGACACTAATGTTATAAACTATTAGGATTATTTGAATGCTGTATAAAACTGTCTTTTGGTACTCGCGTTTTCATTATTAATATTCCGATGCAAACACGAGACATACACTTCCAGCGCATTACACTTGCGCGCCCTGGTGATCGTTTGCCGTCGGCCGGCAAATGCCGCGAGAAAAGGAAGGAAGACGGGCAAACGAGGGAAGCGAGTATCAAGATCGAGATATCATTAAGCCAGGTCGAGTGATCTAGTCCGGCGAATATTATGGGGTCGAACGATGGAAAGTTGATGAACTGGCCGCACGGCAAGGGTGTGCACGAGGGAACGTTGCACCTTACTAGCCGGCACAGGTGCCACAGCTGTTTCAGCAAGTGCAACGAACGCCCGTAGAACACGCGGGCATTAGAACTGTTGCAGACGGTGGGCGCAGCGCAGGGGTAGCGTAAGGGGTGCATAACTATTCGACTAAAGCGGGCGCAGTGAGGTGTTGCGCGTTGTTTTTTATGGCGTGACCGTTGAAGCAGCTCGCGACAACAGGTTGCGCGCACGTGTGACTTTATCTTCATTACCGAGGTCTTTTTTTAACGTCGCGAATTACATCTAATTACGCGTTGCAAAGGCACAAAATTATCCTTAAGCGTTGAAATAAACCGGCTACAAAATATTTTCAAGAATAACAAATTTTCTGTAATTATTTATATTTTTTCTTTCTAACTTTTTTTCCAGAAATACGAATCCGTTAAATGCAGAAGAGTCACACGAATATATAACGCAATGCCGCGTTAGATAATTGAATAACATCATCCATCGATTACTGCTGAGATTATTGTGTCCACGATTAGCGTCTTGCTCGACTTCTAACAGTTCTAGGGTCAGCCGCGCACCGAATTTAACTCGCTTCCGTTTCACACGCCTACGCGCGCGATTCGATGATAGAGGAATGGGCGTTAATTCGTAGTTAGTTGATCGTCGGCATAATATGAGCGCGGCTGTATGCAACAACTTTGTCCAAAGTTTAATTTAGCCGACGACGACGGCGGCGGCGATGGCGGGAGAGCGGGAGGAAAGTTTTGTTCTGTGCAGGAAGCGTGGTTCCGGCTCTCTCGGTTCCGCCCATAACGGTGACGGTGTGAACTTCGTGGATCCCGCGCGATCGCCACGCCGGACTTTTTCGGCGGGATTTGATTGGCGGTGGTGCGCACCGTAATTAAACGGGCGATCATTAAGCCGTCTTCCGTTCTGTCGTCACCGACGGTATACCGACGTATACATGGAACATCAGCGACGCGGATGAAATCAGAAGTTTGTTCGACCTCCGTAGATCCTCGCGTAGATAAGCGGCGAAGAAAAATTCTTGCTGCTTTCTGTTATTTAACTATGGCCGAAGTTAAGTGGTATCTGAAACAGGACGTTCTTCTTTGGTGGATCGAAATGCTTTCTCTTTAAAAGAGGATTGAATCGCGACTTATTTACCGAGTATCTTGATTTTCTTTGATGAAACCTCATCGCTCTTTTCGATATCTACGTAGCATAATTTAGTCACAAAGAGGTTCAATAAAGGACTGCTACTCTCTGTCGTTTTCGATACCATTTGTTGACAGTGAACTCGGGATCAGATTTAGCAACGACAGTAATTATAAGAAGCAACAAAATGGATTCCGCGAGTAATGATTGTCGATCTTAATTTCTTTCATCAATTAGTATTGTTCAATGACGCGGTAAAATGTCGAAGGGAAAAAGAGAAAAGGAGTCAAATTATTTCTAATCATTTCCGAGAAAATATTTGACGTGAGCCGATATTTCTATAACTTATCATATTTTCGAGAGATGATCGATGTTTTAATTTCACCCATCATTGACCTCAATGCTCAAACCACTCTAACGTTATAAATGTTCCGACGGCTGTCGATTAGAAGTTAGAAGTTGAGGAAACATGGCACATTAAGTACGTCGATTCGCATTGTGGATACGACTTTAAATAGCTATTTTATCTTTTCTAGCACAGTATGCGTGCGTTGTTTTCGTCTTATAGAATGCAACAGCAAAAAATCAGTATCTTTAGTAGCATTGTTGTTAATTTGTCATAGCGTTTCCTAACGCAATATTGCGACAAATAGCGTGTAATATTTCTTTCGTCTAACTTATTCGTTTATCTATAACGAGCAAGAAATGAATTCAACTTGATCATAAAGCGATATGTTTCAGATGATCGTTTTATTGCTGTAACAACTGTTAGTCCTGTGTTACATTATTAAAATAATATACAAACACTATACATAAGGTATCTTTTGCGTTACCAGCTTTCTCAGCAAGTAACGTGATTAGTTTCGAAATGATTATAGGCGAATCACTTCTTTCTTTATCTTCTAATCTTTATCGACAAACCCTTTTCACGCAGCAAACTCCTTCGGTTCCTAAAATCATCAGGACGGGAAGGCACGGGAATGCTCTTGTCGTATCTCGGTGGGGGTGTTGTGGTACGAGTGTGCGGTAGAAGACTGGGAAAGGGAAAAGAGAGGGGCCTCTTTTTCATCGTACCTCTCTCTCCGTCCTTTTCCTTTCTCTCTCTTTTTCTCTCTCCCTGAGTCCTCTGTTCCCCGCGCTAAACGTCTCTTACTCCGTTTCTCTCTCACTCTCTTTTTGTCTCTCTTGCTCACGGCCCACTGATATCGCGAGAGGTCGCGGCATAAGGGAGAGGGAGAGACAGGTAAGCAGCGGCGTTCCGCCACGGCACACGAAGGCCCCGGGTAAGAGGGAGAGGGCCCCGCGCTAGACCGACAGAAAGAGAGAGAGAGGGGCACCTAAAGCGACGCAGCGCACGGTGGAGGGAGGTCGGCGAAGCGGAGGTGAAGCGCGACCGGCCCTCTCTACTCCAGGGGCCCAGGCTAGTCCAGTCCGGGACAGCACGCCTCCTGCTGCACGCTCCACGAGGTAGAACGACGAACGTAGACACGACGACGTTGAGACCGGTACGACGTTACGCGCGCGGGCCCAACTTCGAACGCGTAAGACCCCCGGCTACTCGCCCTCTATCACGCATCGGCGCGCCGCGTCGTCATCCATCGACCGCGACAAAATTTTGGACTTTTACGTGGGGAAATCTTGTACAAGCAAAGGTGTCCTGTCTTTTCGGTATCCTCAACGCTATCGTTCGCGACAGATTTGCTCAAGGGGCTTGACCATCTCTTTTGTCACTCGTCGACAATCGAATCGCGACTTCGCTCGGACATTGGTACATCTGAACGCCTTGGTACTGCTCAGAGTGTATTCTTCAATTCGTATAGAGGATGTTTCCTGGAATCCTCTAAAGTCTAAAACCCAAAGAAGACGTCTTGTCCTGACGATGGAAAATCCGAGGTAGATCGCAGGACTCTTATCTTCAAGGTACACCGATCGGAACGAGTTTATGGAAAAGAGTGACGAAAACAGAAGTTTTCAATTATATCATCCGTTCGATTTCGATGAGAGAAGTCTGCAATCCACGACGTTCGTGTGTACTTCCGATCCACAACTAATCGCAACTAAACCGATTGCCGATTGCCGCTCCGTCAAAAATCGTAGCCGATATATCGTAGACCCGTGACTTGGTCTCTCTCACCAAGACGATACATCGCCACCCCCACCCGTGAGCACCACGCGTCCAGCCACGCGATCAGCGGGATCAGCGATCCGGAAGGTTTCGCACGGCAACGGTGACCAACGAGCCGGGTATTCTTAATGGACACCTGATCCACGGTGATTGACCACGTCGTCCAGCTGCATCGAGCTACAACGTTATCAGGGTGACGATGATTTTATCGGAATCCTGAAGCTCTCTTCAAGATTATCGAGAACCATTCGAGAATCGTTTCAGGATTTCGGTGTTCGTCACTTTGAAAATTCTCTCGAGAAACTTTCGCAGTTGTGGTGACAATTTACACGTGTGCGGGTATGAGAGACCACTGTGAACAGTGCAACGGGCCACCCGAACGGTGAAGTGAGCCGCGGGGTGTTCAGTGAGCGTAATTTCGAGAGACTTCAACGCCCGGCAAAGAGATAACCGAGGGATATAACCAGACGACTAAGACGACCACGATCACGACGACAACAACGACAACGACGACGACGACGACGAGGCTATTCATATTCAGGTGAGGCTTGCCAGATAAGCTGGACTCGTTGGACTAAGTAACTCTTCCCATTGACGCTACGATAGAGGATCATCCTTATCACCGACGATGATGATTTATCGCGACTCGGTAGATTGCGCAAAACTGTCACGAGGCACAGATCGTTCGGCCAATCTGTCTTGTTGCATTTGTTAGATTTCTTCAAGGACGAGATATCTCATGCATATTGAATATTTATGGGTTTAAGAGAGATATTGCTTTATTACTACGGAAAAGTTGCCCTTGCTTTCAGTGATAAATGGAAGACGAACAGGCTAAGAAATAACATTTCGTTATATCTCTCCCGAGAATATTATTAACTTTTATGAACGGAGTAGAGATGTGTATTAAACACAGCAATCAAGCGTATTGGCTAATTTTTAAAGATTTAGATGTATATGCATTCTCTTCTTCATCTTTCTCGGTTTTAGTTAAATCCCATAGTAATTAACATTAATAATCTTTTTTTCATTAAGCGTTTGTTTAATTTTCATTTTTAATTTTTAACCAATACAAACTGGTATTTCGAGCTAATTAAATTCGAAATGTATAATAGATCGACTTGTCACGTATCATGAACAATTATATGGGTATTCTCGCTTCGAAAATCGTAAATGGGGCAACATTCTGTGGTCAACAGTACGTAAACTACGCATATATACGCAGATCCCACCTACCGACACACGCGCAGCGGGTTACACTCTGTGTTTACATTCGCCAATTACAGATAGACGCTCGTACGCAATAATGATAGATCTGCCGGCGTGGCTAATGACTGGCGAGTTGCCCAGCGCAAAAAGTGACGGGCATGATTTTCGAGCGGAGAAGAGTACGATCCGCGAAGCCGACGGCTTCCATTGTGCCAACACGCCGACTAGGGAACGGAAGTATGGAATGAGATTGAGAGAATTAAAATAGGTGGATATGTAGGAGCGTTATAAATTACCGCGCGAAGAGTTTTTCCGGTGTTGTACTTTTCTTATTCTGGCAGAGCCGCTGGATTGTATGCCTAAATTTAAATCGAGGAAATCCGTTCGGACAGTTATAGCACAAAACTGATATTTATATACAATTTGATAACATTTCGAAAATCCTATTTGGTAGTTCTTTTCCTCTAAGTAGGGTGTGATTTTTCTGATGCACGTATCTATATATCAGGAAGTGAAGTAAATGATAGGTCTTTCCGATATTCCCCGTCGGCGGCGAACTTTGCATTCCGGTCCGCTTGCTTTTCTTTCTAGAATTTTATTCGCGCACTCACGCAATGAAATGTACGTATGCACGAATGTACGTGCACTATGTATGTTCGATATAATCACAGGTAAATTAGAGATCATCATCGCGTCGCAATTATTTGTTAGAGCGGTAAAACATGGATGGCATTACCGCCGGCATTAAGAGCGTTACTCAAACAAAATTAGCTCTATTAATTTTAAGATGATCGGACTCCCGTTTGCCAATTAATTCCTCGGCAAACGTGCCCCTTTCCATTACATATTCGCTGGTTGTTACGTTATCGAAGATATCGGTTTCGTCGAACTAGATTATTACATCGATAAGATGCAAAGAATCGCGCATGTCACTTTTTCCCGGAGTAATCCGTTGATTAATCGGTCGGCTTATGAATTAATCTGACAAGATTCGTCGATAAAGCGAACCGGTGCTCCGATATTTCGACAATGTCCCGCGATTGATCCTCGAATATGTAATAGGGTGTCTCGAAATCGCCATTATTTATATGATGAGCTGATCAGACTTTTCTTATTATATATAATCGTGTCCTCGTTAATTGGATCGACCACGTAAATAATTGTGTATAAAGTTCAGAAGTTTGATTCCTGACAGACAACAACGACATTGGTTCCCGAGGAACATCGACAACGATATCTTTACATCAAAAGGATAAGATCGGCGGCGATGCGTTCGGGCTTGATACAAACTGGCCCGTCCGTCTTCCCTCAGCCCATTATTCGAAAAAATTCGTTTCTAATCGCGTACACAAGCGGCATCTGCCCCACGTTTCCACCCTTGCGTCTTTCACCTACTGCCACCACTCTGTACGTTCACCCGAAGACAACTGCCTTCTTAGGGGCAGTTGTGGCGTCAGGTGGCACTCGTTAAAGTCAGCCAAAAGTCGTTGGCAGTTAAAAGAACATGGGTTGACAGTTGATAATGGTGACGACGATCTCGTGCTGCTTTAATAGAAGACGAAACCATCATTAGAATCGATAATAGCACGTCATCTGTCAACAGTAGCGATATGTGCATTCAAAACCTCAAAAAAAATTAATCTGTCACTTAAGGACTTGCCTATTTTCTTGTCTGATTTTTTTCTACTTTGAGAAATAATAATTCATTGGATCTTCTAGCTGATCACATTGTTAGAACTCAATCTCTATTTCGACTTCATTCTCGGCACATCTTTCGACGATCTTTTATCCTGGAATGTCAATGCTGTAAATATGTTCACACATTGATCACAGATAACATCCGTCAGCGTAGACTCGACGGAATCTCAAGCCAATCGTACTTGAGAGACGATGGTTTGTCGCGGGCGCCATTATCCCAGCTGGACATCCGCATAATTTCCTACCGTCATTCCATGTCTAAGCCTACAACTCATTCCGCTACGAGGAAGAGAGGGCGCAGATTCACAAGTGCAAGTGGCTCGATCGAGAATTTCAATAGTTCCTCCGCGTCAGGAATGACGACGCGTTCGAGATAGCGACAGAGTTGCAACGTAAGCGATTGTCACCATTAGCGTAAATAAAATATTGAGCAGCAACGTTAATGCAACGCAAATGGAACTATCTAATCATTTAATAATCTATATGTCGGCCTGACATCTGATTGTGAGAAAAGTTAATATACAAATATAATTGAGTAACTAATATATACGAATATACCGAGCCAACTCTTAAGAATACTAAGTATTTTAGAGAATCGCGTATACAATGGAGAAGTCACTTTTGTAACATAAAATTATATCTTTTATTATCCAATTATTGGTATATATATAGATATATATATTTATTTATTTACGTATCTCGGATATATTACATTCAGGGCACGCAGCCGAATCGATTGGACTTTCTCAGATGGCTTTCTCGCGATACTTGTGTAGATGTAGTGAGATTTCTATTTTCGATACGCGTTCTCGTGGTTTTTGTCGCGGAAATCTCGATCAAATCGTGCACGTCGCGCGCGATTCTCCGATGACGCTGCGAATCCGTAACACGTCACGTTCCGCTCGTCTCGCAATCCGATTGAGATAACGTTCACCTTCGCGAAGAAGTCGTGCGATTGGTAGCTAGAGTACACTATCATCTCCACCTCGCTATGTAATTAGGTTTCCACTTTTAGGACTATTACTTGCGCGGAGCGCGCGATGAATACTTATTCAATCACGGGATAAGACAGCTCCAACTGTCCGTTCTATCTTCTAATGCGGCGCGTACAAGGCGTATTGAGAATTTACGGTGTTGCAAAATGAGCGGCCATTGACGCAATCATTTGCGAGTAACATTCTCCATCTATATAACGATCGCGCTAGCATTAGCAACGTTTTTGTTTATATACTTTCTTACACGCGTAAGTATTTCGCGCCCAGTTCGGCGACCGTCGAAGACTCTACCTTGCTATTATCTATCGCGCCGTTATGTCCTCTAGTCTATAGTCCGGAATGTGGTTTGAGTATAATGATTAATAATCTGTCTCAAAAACTCGATCATTTTAATGCGGTGCTTGTCAATCTCTCGCATTCAAATCGCAGTTTAATATCGAGCAAGCGTCATCATGTTTCTATTTTACGTCATGCTCGCGGGAAACTTTGTAGACTGTATCGGCGCAGCATGTGCGTAAAATATTCAATGAATACTGCAGTCAATGTTTTAACGTCTCTATTATAGTATTATCAAATTGGCGAGCGAATGCGAAGATTAATTAATCCTGAAATGATCGAAATGTATAAGCGATTTACAAATATGTAGCGCGTATTATCAGGTATAGATACGAACACGATCGAGGGATAGTCCATCATACTTGGATTATTATTTTCATATCATTTCACATTCGTTATTACAGACTCCGATGTAGGTAGTTTCCTTTCCTAATCAATCAACTATAATCGTTAGAATTACGGATAATTTATGAGCAGCGGATATGACACGATATACCGATCGATATTGAATCGATCGCGTCTGCTTCCTGATAGGCATCTAATCCGTTGAGACCCGTTAAGGATCCCGGACTGTCATCGAAGATGCGACGAACCTGGGGCGAGATATCGGGCGGAATATAATCTGAATGATGATCGACTCGATCGCGAGGCGACGCGCGGCTGCCTCACGCGGTTATCCGGCTCTTCTCCCGTATTGTTTATCAGCCAGCGAGAACGGACTGTCGGGTGGTTAATTGCAGAGTGGCCCTCGTCGTCGTCATCGCCGCGGACGCCGCGGTGGTTATACAGTTAACCGGCGACGGCGGTCGCGCCGCGTGCGCTCTCGCCGCATGTGGTGCGCAGCACGGAGCCGCCGCACCACGTCTCGCAACTGCGCTGCGCTGCGTGCAGGACTGCCGTGCGCGCGCGTGGTACAGGTAGCTCTCTCGGATCTATTTATAGGGTAGAGTCGGCCGCGGCCGGCGCGGCGGTGCGTATGTACACGCTCGCGTTCGCTCGAGAGTATGTGCGAGAGCGCGTTAGCAAATGCAATCGTGTGTCCGTGCGTGTGCGCCACACCTGGCCCCGATTGCGCGCCGGGCTCTTCACTATGCGCGTCTATTCCACTCGCGGCTCTCGAGCCATCGCCGCGAGCCGCGAGCCGCGAGAGCTCGCGAGAGCCGTGAGCGGCTTCCACCCGCTAGTCAAGAGGTCCCGCGCCGCGTGCGGTGGCCGCGATCGGAGCCGCGCGTTCAGGATTGCTACGCAGACGGAATTCGTTAAATTACCAACTTTCCCTGTTTTCATGGGTTTTGCAGATTAA